ATAGCGCTGCACTTGCACAAACAAATTTAATTGATAAACAAAAGTGAATGAATAGCTCAAGAAACCACAACAAACAAAATAACTTAGAACATCACAGTGAATGCACAAAGGTTGCCAACGCATTCCGCAAGTCTTCTCCGGATGATGAATGCATCTCAAGCAGTGGCGTTGGTGCATAGTTCCGGTAGCACGGCATGTGGCCAAGATGACGTCGCTCAATGATGTTGTGGAGTGCGCAACAAATTAGACCTGCCTTGCTCACAAACTGTGGATCATTGGAGTTGGTCTCATGCACCACGTTGAAGCTCTCCTTCAGCCGGCCGAACGCACATTCAACAACACGCCAAGTTCGAATCTGCGTGTAGTTGAAGCTTTCTGCAGCGGGAGTGACGTTGTCTCCAGCGATGATTTTCATCAGAACTGGACTCAATGCAAAGGCACTGTCTCCAACCACAAACGGCCTCACTGTCTTGCCATTGCATTGCCACGTCGCAAAGTTTCCCCATTCTCCAGCAATCAGCTTGGCCTTCAGGGCACTGCCATTGAATACAGCGGCATCACCAACACTTCCAGGTGCGCCAATATCCACAAATGTGAGCAGGCCTCTGGAGTCCACACATGCCAGGAGAAGAATAGCCGAATGCTGCTTATAGCACCAATATATATATATATATGCATATATAGCACCAATACGAATCTCCGTAATCTTCTGGTTTCACCATGCGGATAAATGTGCCGTCAACAGCACCACAGCATAGAGGCAACGTGCTCATTTCTTCGAAACGCCTCATTCTGCGCTGCAGTTATTCACCGACTGGAAATACTATGCTGTCTGCAGTCAGTGGCGCAACCAAAGACTCAACCAACTCATGCACAATGGCCCTGGCAGTAGTCGCTCCTACGTGAAACAGTGCACCAATCTCTGAGAACGTTTCACCCTGGCCGAGGTAGTACAATAGAATAGCCAGGCGCTTGCCAGGGAAGATGGTTCGTCTCAGATGCGTTGTTTGTTTCACGATCAGGTGGCGATACCTCTGGAGAAGAAATCTAAATGTTTTCTGCTCCATGCGAAAATTCGCAATCCACGCAGTCCTCCACCAGTCGATAGATTGAAGTTTGGCACGCTCCCATGTCCCCAAAACCTCCTTCTCCCAAAATCCACAAGGCATTCCAAACTCGTTCTCAGGGTGAGCTGTCCACAAGTTGCGACCAATTCTGTATTTGACGGTACCATTCCGCAACAGCATGCTGAACATCGTCGTGACCATGAAATTTGAGCAACTGTGATCAGTCATCTTGAAAATATCAAGAACAGGACCGCCATCAGACGAATTCACTAGCTTCTGCAGGTCCTGCAACATCATGCCGGCAACAATTTTACGTCGTCGCTTTCTCCTTGCCAGAGTCAACCTGAGGTCCATCGGCATGGCTCCAACACGAAAGATGCAGAACAAAATCGAAGAAGAACACACAGCATGCACTCGTTCTGAGAGCAAAATTGTTCATCCCAACTGCACTACATTTTCCTGTTGAATTTCTCACCACCACAAGGCTGCCATGGCAAAGAATACGTAAAAAGCAGATCGCCTGCTTAGTGTGCAACTGCACTTGATCAGGCTGGCGCATACGCAACGTATGCTCAAGTTAGTTGCGTTTTACATGTACGTAGTGTGTAAGGGGCCTAACAGGTCATCTGCCAGTTTGTAGTTGGCTTCGCCCCGCCTGCAGTTAAATTCACGGATAGGCTACCGTCTTAGCCGTTCTATGCTGATGTACTGATGCTGATGGACTACTGTGCTAGCGTGGTTGAAGTGGACGGACGTGGTGGTTGAAGTGGACGGACACGTCATTGAAGACCGATCATGGCTTCGACCAGCCGGAGACACACGACATATCACAGTCAGCAAGCTGGAAGCAACGATCAAAGGACTCAACCTCGCCGTTCGTTGGGGTGCTGCAAAAGTGCGGCTCATGACAGATTCTAAGTCTGCCACTAGCTGGCTGAACGATGTGGTGACGAACTCATACCGTGTTCGTACCAAGGGCCTTCACGAAGTGGTGGTGCAGTGACGTCTGCAGATAGTGTGGGACATTGTCATTGTAGCTGGCCTCTCTGTGACAGTCGTATGGGTCCCGTCTGCCAAGAATCGAGCTGACATCGTAACGCGTGTCCCCGCTACCTGGACTGCTCACGGCAAAGCGCAGTTGAAGGAGAGCAGCATTGCAGCAAGCCTCGTCGGTGGACCTGCTGGTGGTCCAGTTCAGCAACACGACATTGCGGCCGCTCAACACACCGATGCACTGATCACTGAGGTGATCTCGCAGATTGAAGGAGGCCGCCCACTTCATGATTTGTTCACGAAGGTCGGTTCACAGCTTGTGATCGAGAATGGCCTGCTGTGCCGTAGTGTGAAGTTGCCTATCGATGGAGTCATGGAACTTCCAGTCGTGGCACCGAAGCTTGTCGCTGATATATTATTGTCTGCTGCACATACGAGAACAGGTCATGGTTCGTGGAATACCATGTATGATGTTGTTCGTAGCCGCTGCTACTTGCCGTATATGGCTGCCCAGTGCCAGCGGCACGTTCAGCAGTGTGTAAAGCAAAAGCAGCTAACAGCCGCCGCAAGACGTCTAAGCTGCCTACGCAAGCAAGCATTGCAGGGAGCCCATTGTTAGAGGTGGTCATAAACACACTTTAACTTGGTCAATAGCGAAGTGGTCGCTACCATTGTGTGCAAGCGGCAGTTAATTCTTTCACTAAGTGGGCCGAAGTTATCCCGTTGGCTCGACATGATGCTTCCGCTGTTGCCAAGGCGTTCACCGCACTGTGTAATCTCTGGGGCCCGCCGAAGGTTGTCCGCATGGATAATGTGTCTGAGTTTCGGAACGCGCTCGTTGAATCTGTCTTCAAGTACTTCGGTGTCCGAGTAAAGGCAGGAGCCGTCAGACATCCACAGTCCCAAGGTACTGCTGAACGCTTCAACAGGACATTGCTTGGCCTGATTCGAAAGTTGGACGAAAAGTCGAGCAGTTGGAGAGACGACCTGGACGTCCTGCTGTGATTATACCGACAGCGACCCCATGCCTCTACCCGCGTGTCGCCAATGGAGGCCATGATGGGATAAAACCCGGACTACGTCATCAAGAGTACTGCTGAATTGTGTGTCAATTGACTTATCGGAGTATTGTGTGACTCCGAAGTAGCGACAAACTCGGCCATTTGAAAACAATCTTAACCGTCCACCTCTCCACACTGCCCTCTTCGTTATCTACCTCTGCTGGGGTACTCTTATTGAGGAAAACAGCTGTCTGGAGGATATGGAACATCTACCCAAGAACGAACTTCCTCGCTCTGGAGTGGTGTTGTGACTGTGGGCCAAGAGTGCAGTGTGGAGAGGTAGACGGTTAAAAGAGCAGTGTTGCAACGAATAGCAAAATCACGAACGAATATTGTAACGAATAAGCACCGTACAACAAAATGAATATTCTACTATTCTACCCATATAGACGAGCCCATTTCTACACACTATGTATGCTTCTTTGTTTATTTGAAACAGGGCGCACTAAAACATGACCACATCTTTTGTGGAAAAAGTCGAGAAAATCGCGATTTGAATTCCGCGGTAAAAAAATACGTGTGGCGAGTTACTGTTCTTGTTCTCCTCGCGCTCAGTAGACTGGATCTGTTCTGGATGCAAATCTTTCTTGCAAGTAAGATTATTTGTTTGAGTTTGTATCCCATGTTGCGCTGAGTCGCCTAAAACGGATCGTCGTCGATGCATCGAAGAAAGAGCCTAATGACTATGTACTGCGGGACGGAAGAAGACGACATCCTCGCGCTCCATGCACAGAAATGTAGGTTTGCAGCGTACGGCAAACCGTAGTTATGGCTGACAACCGAGCAGCAGGCAAAAGCCACGCGCATGGCTAGGCGTGCAACAATATGGTGTCTGACATACAATGGCGGGAAGCCGTACTGGGGAAAGCCCAGGCGGCACCACGAGTACGAGTACGCCCTTATGCGCAGGCGAGACTACCCCATATTTGCATAAAGGTATCAGTGCTACTAATGCGATGTTTACTACAAGCAGGGCTCATGGCGCCTAATCTCTATAATAGGAAGCAGTTCCTTTCATGGCAAGGAAGGACTCCAGCGCGTGTACTACGCCTCAGCCAAGGTACAGTACTACAGTTGCACTCGGTGAAATCCGGCCCGAAGTGCAAAGCCGGCGCCGCAAAGCTGGCGATTTGTGTGTATGAACACAACTGTACGCACCTCGTGTAAAATTTCGGAGTGCACGTGTTGCATGCTAAAAACAGTTCAAAATTTCTTTCATTATGGACCTTTCGCACCACGCATACCGGTACAAAATGAATGCTGATTCGTCATCTGGGTTCTAGGATTCGTCAGAGTCCCTGCGGAGAGCTCATTTTCACGAATGGAAGCCTCTTCATTCGTGCCGCGCTCCGAATCCGTCAGGTACACATTTATTTTGCCAGGTACACATGTTTTTCCAGGTACACATTTTCCCTTGATTCCATGATCCATGCACGTGTGCGTGTAAACACCCGTACGCCAAGCTACCGGCCGTAGTCGTAGTTGCCATGCACATCTGCATGACGACTTGCGAAACCTGAATCTGTTTTCAACGAAACGATTACGAGCCGAATCAAACTTTCGTTTCACATTCGATTCGCAGCATGCGAAAGGTCCCTATTCACTTCACGGAGTACAGCTCATGAATAAATAGAGAAGAAGGACATGGCCATTGCCAAAATCTCGTACAGAGTCCACAGTGCAGACAGAACAGCAAACAAATGACACACAAACATGCTCCGCAATCCCATTTCCAAAATGGGGTGAAACCATTCTCTACAGTTTTCTTCGCAAGCCCTATTCAAAAATGAAAAATAATGAGTTCTTTGGAGGAAATGAATTCAGTAGACGAGAAATAATAGCAACCCTCTACAGAGCAGGTCATACTCCGAGACAAATTATGGACATAACCGGTTACAAGAAGACTCAGGTGAGTGAAACAGATCATCAATAATGTGATAAAATCGAGAACAAGTCACAAAACAATCTTCGATTCTATTGTTCATGTTCAGGTAAAGGACACGTTTTGGTGTGTGCGGAGATGTCCATAAATGATTCGAAAGAGTTCTTAGTATTGTATACTTGCGCCCATCATATGCCCCTCAACCCACAAGAGGAATAATGCAACATTACTTTGGCTAAAAAATGCAAACTTCTCAATCTTGACCCAGCACTAAAGCATGTATTGGGGTTTTCCAGCACTAGCTTGTAAACAACTTTGTCAATTGACTTATCACAATGTTGTGCATGAGACTGCCTCACTTCGTAGTGGATTGTGCATTATACTCAATATAAGTACTTTTCTGATGGATAACGCATAGGAATGTCTGGTCATGTGTGACATGTGTTGTCTGGTCATGTGTGTTACCTGTACACAGGACGATGGTTTTCCTGTTCATTGCGCTGCCAGGAATGGACATCTGGAAATAGTCAAGTATCTACTAGATCTCCAACTCGGCACGATCTCTGTGCAGGACAGGGTAAGTTAAGCAATCCCTATCATTGATCAGTCAAATATCTACTAGATCTCCAAACCGACACGATCTCTGCAAAGAAAGATGTAAGTTGAGCAATCTCTATCCTTGATTCTCCTTAAGCATTTTTCCAAAACACGGTTTGAGCAATGGCAACAAGTAGCATTTAGTCACTCGCGCCAGACCAGAGCAACATAACTTAACCTTACGGATTCCACCATCTGCCAGTAGAGCAGACTATGGCACACCATTCACTCTTGGGTCCATACAATGGCCCTTCCTACATACTAACGTGATGTAAATATATTTCCTGGTGTATGTGTGTTTATGTGTGTGTGTGTGTGGGGGGGGGGGGTGCGTGAGTGGGTTCGTCAGTGCGTGTGTGCATACAGCAAGGATAGGCAACTGTCTTAGCCGTTCTATGCTAGCTATATGTCAATTGCTGGGGAGTATCAGGCTGAAACAGCAACCCCACCGATTTATTTACTCCAAAAGTACCTGTGACTATTGGTGACTTTCCTGGCTGGCACTGATAGCTTCACAAAGCACCTCCATTATGCATTCGGTTCACATGAACCTTTGTCTCAATGATTTCTGATGTGACCTCATGGACACACTCATCATCATTTCAACACCCTTCAACAGGAATGTTTTGGTGTGTGCAGAGATGTCCATAAAATTATTCAAAAGAGTTCTCAGTATTGTATACTTGCACCCATCACATGCCCCTCAACCCACAAGAGGAATATTACAACATTACTTTGGCTCAAAAAGAATGCAAACTAACCAATCTCGTGCCCAGAACTAAAGCAGATGTTGGGGTTTTCCAGCTTTAGCTTGTAAACAGTTTGTCAATTGACTTATCACAATGTTGTGCATGAGACTGCCTCACTTCATAGTGGATTGTGCATTATACCCAATATAAGTACTTTTCTGATTGATAACGTATAGGAACGTCTGGTCATGTGTGTTCCCTGTACACAGAACGGTTGCCTTCCTGTTCATTGTGCTGCCTTGAAAGGAAGTCTGGAAGTCGTCAAATATCTTCTAGATCTCCACCCCGACATGATCTCTGCAAAGAACGATGTAAGTTGAGCAATCTCTATCGTTGATTCTCCTTAAGCATGTTTTTTTCCAGAACACGGTTTGAGCAATATATTTGATCGCAACAAGTAGCATCTAGTCACTCGCGCCAGGCCAGAGCAACAGAACTTAACCTTACGGATTCCGCCATCTGCCAATAGAGCAGACCATGGCACACCATTCACTCTTGGGTCCATACAATTGCCCTCCCTACATACTGAAGTGACGTAAATATATTTCCTTGTGTGTTTGTGTGTGTGTGGGGGGGGGGGTGGCGTGGGTGCGTGGGTGCGTGCGTGCGTGTGTGCATACAGCAAGTGTTGTCAACTCTCTTGACCGTTCTAGGCTGATGTATACAGAGGAGAAGGGAATCCCCTTACGAGAGGTTGAAGCGATTGTGAAGCGGGAGCTGGCATCTCTCTCTGACAGAATAGGCGACTTGGAGAGGGCCAGTGGCGGGAAACAACACAAGCATGCCCGGCAACAGATGACTGGTCCCCTGGCGAGCTATTCGAAGATTGAAAGAGCACAAAGAGACCTCTACATGCCACATCCCGAGGTGAAGGATCAGTGCTTGAAGACGTTGCCAGGAATAAACCCAAGGAGTTGTATTCACAGGCCATACCTAGAGATACTGCCTTTATTGATCTTCCAATGGACATATCGGTTGATCAGGCGCCCATCGAGGATGTCATGTCCAGGAAGGAGCGTCAACGCTTCAAGAGGCGGCTAGCATCAGAACCTTCCGGGACGGAGGAGGCTACAAGTCCTGCGGAACGGCAGATTGGCAGTTGCAAAGCGCAGACAAATCCCATCGTCCGCCAAGAGTCTTCACGTTACATCCGGGAACGTACGTCTGATAGCAACCCGACACCTTCGTTAGACACCGTCCCCAGAGGCCCGCGGAAAGTTCTCTACCTGGGGCAAGTCTCGTATGGTTGCCAGGCACAGTCCATCGCTGAATGGTGCAGAGATCGGGACGTGGAGATAGTGCAATGTATTATATTCTCTTCTGAATACCTCAGAAAACAGAGGAGGACTGAGTGGTGACGGTAAGCTGAAAGTTCTATTGATAAACATCAGGAGCCTTCGAAACAAGATTAATGACCTGGCACAACTCACCCGCCAGCATTGTCCTGATGTTGTCTGTGTGAACGAGACATGGCTGGATAGTACGATTACTGATGGAGAAATCAGTTTGGCAGGGTACAACGTTTTGCGTGCTGATCAAGAGGATCAAGTTGGTGGAGGTGTATGTTTATATTCCCGAACATCCTTGCCTCTCAAGCCGAGATGCGATATAGCTGCTGCTGGGATTGAGAGTTGTTGGGGCGAGATCCCCTGCACTGGTGGGAGTTGCTTGATAGGCACAATCTATTGTCCTCCCTCGGAACCTATTGGCTACTGGGATCGCCTTGATAGTCTTCTACACTCAGCTATCCCTCCGGGCAGAAATGCTATACTGTGCGGTGACTTAAATGTGAATGTGGATCCATCAACGGCTCCAGATCACCAGCTCCACTTCCTGTCTGATCTAACGGCAAGCTACAGTCTCCACCAGGGTTCATCAGCGGACACGGTTTGCATCAAATTCCATAGCCACCACATTGGATCTGTTCTTTAATACGTTTGACCAGCACAATGTGGCAACGGTCTATCCCGTGGCTTTCAGCGACCATGCAGCAGTCATAAATGAATTCTACCTTGACCCGACAAGGAGTCCCTAGACATCAACGGTGTGCCGGAACTACCGCAGGATAAATCATGAACGCTTCAAAGCTGACTTGATTCAGCAGAATTTTTGCAGCATCGAAGGCAGCCCAACAGACATGTGGACGGAGTGGAATAATCGCTTCCTCCAGGTGCTTGACACTCATGCCCCTCTTAGATCTTGTAAGCAACACAAGCGACGATCGGTACCGTGGATGAACAGCTAGCTCTTGCACCTTTTGAGTGAGCGCATCCGGCTTCATAGAAAGTGGCTGTCAGATAGATCTGAGCAAATGTACGCCACATTCAAAGCGGCGAGAAGGGAGGCCACTACCTGTAACCGGAAGCTGAAAGAAGCGTACTACAGTACAAAATTTCAGCTTGCAACTTGTAATGCAAAACAAACCTGGCGAATCATCAACCAGTTGACGGGGAAACAAAGAAAATCGGCACAGCTTCAGTGCTCAGCTGAGGCAATTCGAAGTGACTTCGCCAAGATCGTGGAAGATCCCAGCCGCCCAGTTCATCTTCACCAACCCCAAGGGCCACGAACGGCAACTACTCTAGTAGTTTCGTGGAATTTGTTCCTGTATCTATTGAAAAAGTCCGGAAGCTTCTAGAGCAACAGAATCCGAAAAGGCAACTGGCAGTGGCGGCATCCCTGCAGCCCTTCTTCGAGCTCATGCAGGTGTTCTTGCGCCGTCATTGGCCTTACTGTTCAACAAATCCATGAGGGAGGGACATTTCCCAGCTCCTATGAAGGTGGCCAGCATTGCACCTCTGTTTAAAGGTGGAGATCCAAGCATAGCAAAGAATCACGGACACGTGTCTCTAATATCGATAATTTCAAAGCTTTTGGAACGAGTCATCCATGATCAGCTCACTCAGTACTTGTGCCGACATGATCTATTTCCACCAACTCAGTTCGGCTATCGTTCACATCATTCCACATGTGATGCCCTTGTATTAGCCGTTGAGGGCATATGCCAAGCCCAGACAACAAAGTACTTCATGGGGATTGCTTTCGTAGATATGTCAAAAGCATTTGATAAGGTGAAGCACCAAACCCTTATTCAGGACCTATTCGAGGTCGGAATCGGTGGAACGGTGCTGCAATGGCTTGCAGACTACCTCTCAGATCGGACACAGTATGTCAAAGTTGGTCAGGTACAGAGCTCACCATACACCAGCTTCTCCGGAGTACCACAGGGGTCAGTTCTCGGGCCTCTGTTGTTTGTTCTCTACGTCCGTGACATTGCGAAAGAGCTGTCCCCTTATAAAGTAGCGACCCTGCAATTTGCGGACGATATCTCAATTAGATCTAGGGGCATGAGCACGGATGAGGTGTCCCAACAATCTCTCAGGTGCTGTCCATCACCTCGCCGATTGGCTTAGGAACCGCGGTCTCATCTTGAATGAAACGAAGACACAGATCGTGCCGATATCGCCAGTACGATCCCAAACATTTGACTTGCAAGTGCAATGTAACGGACTGCCTCTGCCAACTGTTCGCTCTGCGAAATATTTAGGTCTCCACTTTGATGCGGACATGAGCTGGAACACCGTGGTCGACCACGTCGCAAGGGGCGTCGCGTCAAAAGTTGGCGTGCTCAGACGATACGCTACATTCCTGCCTTTTCAATGTCGCATAGCCTATTTTCGTTCTTTCATTTTATCACACTTTATGTATGCTGCTTCTGCTTACTTACCATTTCTCACGGCGTATCAAAGTCGACGGCTTAATGGGCTCTTCAAGCGTGCTGTACGCACAGTCTACAGGGTACCTCCGGGGACACCCACAAGCAATATTCTTACACGAATGAACATCCCAACATTGACCACATACGCGAACATGCACCTTCTGGTTTTTATCTGGCGTTGTCTCCATGACTCCTCTAACATCAGTATGTTGTTCGCTAACTTTTTCAGCCGCAGTATATCCACTCAAACTCGTGGTGGGCAAAGCAATTTACTGATTGTCCCAGCCAGCCCAACTGCATACCTTCCCAAACGTGTTACCTATGCTGGGACCATCTTATGGCACCAGCTCCCCGCTGCGGTCAGGCAAGAAAGAAAACGCAATCGCTTTAAGTCAATGCCTCTTGCCATTTTGCTTACCAGATAAATAAGCCTTTTTACAAATGCTGTATGCACTGCTCTTTACGTTATTTTTAGTGGTGTGCACGGGTAGTCGGGTACCCGTGCTACCCGTGAGGACCTCGGGTAGCCGGGTACCGAATAGTACCCGAAAACCCGAGGTCGCAGATGACATCATGTACAGTGCACATGTACAAATAATTCACGCATGTCTACCCAGTGCGGAAGGGAAGGTACCGGTGTGCATTGTGGTCTTACCATGGAAACATTACCCGATCGAGTACCCGTGCTACCCGTGGAAAACTACCCGGACCCGATACCCGAAGAAAATGCTACCCGACTCAGCCCTAGTTATTTTCTTCCTATGCAAGTCGCAACTCCTGTTTTGAGTTGTTTTTCTTCTCTCTTTTTCTTTCCCTACTAGTTGCTGTTACACTCACTGATCCTTATGCACAGATATACAGCATTCCCTCACTAGTGGGACCATTGTTATTAGGCTAGGGCCTGTTTTGGACTTCCCACTCTAAATAAAGAATACAAACAAATGTACTCCGTGTTGTGTAGACCACGTGTGCATTGGTGTTCGATTCTCATGGCTTCACAGGTTGTGTTGATTCGGCAGTTATTAATTGCTAGTCTTGATCAGTATCATTCAGATCTTGTCCGCCGTCGTTGCTATAAGTGAAAATCTGTGGGTGCACCTCCAGTACATTTCGCAGATTTTCGTGCTTCTCTTGTGATGGGCGTATACTGCAAAACGGGTAACGTTTGTGACAATAAATGTTTGCGTTTTACAAATTGAGACTGGTTTGCGCTGTTTAATGTTTGCGAGTTGTTCTACAGTCGTTCTACACAGTCGAGTCAGTCCTCGCACTGAACTTTACATGCCACGAGTTTGCGTTGTTCAAAGTTTGCGATTCGGCGCTTCTTGCAAAATTCGCAAACATTTTTACGTCGCAATAGTTACCCTTTTTACAGTACATGGTACGCGGTGTGTATGCGTGAACATGTGCGTGTGTGTGTGTGTGTGTGTTAGGGGTGGAGTGGTTGTATTTGCATGTTTGTGTGTACATGTATAATTATATTAGGGCTGAAACAATTATATCGGTTATCCGTCTAATTGAACATCAAGCGGGGTTCACAGAGGCATTTTTGCGATGTGACACACGATGTGACGGCCGCGAAACCGGGAAATCCCCTAATCGCAGTCATCTCCCAGCCCACGCAATTGCCGCAACTGGGCCATCGCAGAAGTTGAGCTCGGCTCAACTTTTGCGATGCGACAAACGATTTGGTGTACAATTTTGACCTTTTCTACAGCAAAGTTGTAACAAGGTTCAAGAGTTGCCCGTAAATTTGTCCAAGTTGTACCAAACCGCGCGAATACCATGGTGAAGTACCCACCTGCATTGAACTTCGCGCCAAATCAGCAAGTTATCGTCGCATCGGGGACTTCTTCTGTGAATGGTCTTTTGAAAGTTCGCATCGCACGCCTCCGTGGCAGATCGCGTCTCATCGTCCATCGCATCGCAAAAACAGCTTCTGTGAATCCCGCTTTACAACTAAGCGATTTTGATTATGCTGTCTATTTCGATTATGCAATTCTAAAAATAAATAAAAATTGAAAGAGTACTGAGTGTAGATGTAATGCACAACTCACTTCATAGTGAGTTGTGCATTACATGTACACTCAATGACTCGTATAGATATTATCTGATGGATAACGCATAGGAATGTCTGGTCGTGTGTGTTACCTGTACACAGCACAATGACCTGTCTGTTCATTGCGCTGCATTGAAAGGACATCTGGAAGTAGTCAAGTACCTACTAGATCTCCAACCCAACATGATCTCTGTAAAGAACCATGTAAGTCGGGCAATCTCTATCCTTGATTCTCCTGAAGAATTTTTTCCAGAACACGGTTTGAGCAATATATTCGATCGCAACAAGTAGCATCTAGTCACTCGCGCCAGGCCAGAGCAACATAACTTAACCTTACGGATTCCAACATCTGCCAGTAGAGCAGACCATGGCACACCATTCACTCTTGGGTCCATACAATGGCCTTCCCTACATACTAAAGTGACGTAAATATATTTCCTGGTGTATGTGTGTTTGTGTGCGTGGGGGGGGGGGGAGGGGGGTGCGTGCGTGCGTGAGTGCGTGTGTGCATACAGCAAGGATAGGCAATTGTCTTAGCCGTTCTATGCTGGTGTACTTCGTGTTGTGCAGACCACGTGTGCATTGGTGGTCGATTCTCATAGCTTCACAGGTTGTGTTGATTACAGTCCATTCAGAAAAAGATGAGCGCTGGCTCTGGAGAGCTCCCGTATTTGGCGATTTTGTGGTACACTGTGCAATGCCGAGAGATTCGAAACTTGAAAAAGGGTCCAAAAAAGGTACCTCAACTGGGGTTCCAACCGGAAATGTCCTGTTTTGCAAGTGGAGTGGATTTTCATGGTTTTTCCCCAATTCAGTGCTTTGGGGGCAAAACCTGGCTGAAATCCTTTTCTTGTTATGGCTCTTTCGAAAACAATTGGAAGACCATTCCATGGGGGATTGCCAATGAAAAATAAGACGAAAACTCAAAATTTGACCCATTTATGGCCAGAAGCTAGGATATCATTCTTTTCTGAATGGACTGTAGGCAGATATCTGGCACTAGTCTTGATCTGTCTCATTCAGATCTTGTCCACTATCATTGCTATCGTTTGCGTGCTTCTTTTGTGACGGGAGTATACATGGTACACGGTGTGTATGCGTGTACATGTGTGTGTGTGAGGGGGGGGGGGTATGTGCACGTTTGTGTGTACATGTGTATAATTAGGGCTGAAACGACTATATCTCTTATCCGTCTAATTGATCATAAAGCGGGATTCACAGAAGCAATTTTTTCACAGAAGCTATTTTGCGATGCGACACATGATGCGGCGGTCGCGTAATGCGACACACGATGCGACGGTCGCAAAACCGGGAAATCCCCAAATCGCAGCCATCTCGCAGCCCACGCAACTGCCGCAACTGGGCCATCGCAGAAGTTGAGCTTGGCTCAACTTTTGCGATGCGACAAACGATTTTGCGTACGATTTTGACGTTTTCTACAGCAAAGTTGTACAAAGATTCAAGAGTTGCCCGAAAACTTGTACAAGTTGTACCAAACCGCGCGAATACCATTGTGACGTACCTGCCTGCATTGAACTTCGCGCCAAATCAGCAAGTTATCATCGCATCGGGGACTTCTGCGGTGAATGGTATTTTGAAAGTTCGCATCGCACGCCTCCGTCGCAAATCGCGTCGCATCGCCAATCGCATCGCAAAAAAAGCTTCTGTGAATCCCGCTTTACAACGAAGCGACTTCGATTATGCTGTCTATTTCGATTACGCGATTCTGAAAAAAATTAAAAAAATTAAAAATAGAAAACGTGTAAAAGATGTCATGCACATGACCGGAGGATGTACCCAGTGTGCTGACAGTACTCAACACCACGAAGGCAGAGCATAATACAAAACAACAAGGACAATCAAGGCTTGTTTGCTGCTACTTCAAGTTTCATGCTCCCACAATCACCAGGAAACATGATTGCGAAAGCATGAAACTTAAAGTAGCAGCAAACAAGCCTTGCTTGTTCTTTTTTGTTTCGTACATAAGTAATTGTAGAGGCCAAATACCTTGGTTTATTGATAGATGACCATCTCACCTTCCAGCCACAGGTTCAGAAATTGTTTAACTCAGTGTTTGCTAAAGTTTCTGCTTTCCGACATGGCCGTAGAAATTTAACAAATGATGCAAAGCGAACATTCTACTTGTCTATTATTCAGTCTACCCTAGACTATGCCAGTAATGCTTACCTACATTGTTTACGGTGGCTGGGGCTGATTGCGCAGCGCATCGAAATGAGTTTAGAAAATGGCGCTCGTTTCCATGGAATCGGGGCGCTCAGCGCGATCGGCCGCGATCGCGAAGTGAAAAGACCGCGAAGTGAAAAAATTTAAAATATAAAGAAAACGACGCAATTCGTTCAGTGAACAGCTGAAGCAGCAATGGTTTTTCAGAGGAGATATCTGTCAATGTAGGAGGTTATTGGAATATTCGTTGTAGGGTGCTTGGAATGTGGTGCCAGGACAGGTTGTGATGGGACGTTCACGCGGCAGGTACAAGGTATAGTTTCCTCGCGGGAGTCTTGCTGAATATTTTCGCTGTTGGAAGGACTGTAGCCAGCCAGCGAGGAAGGACGAGGATGTCCTCCTCTGCTGTTGCTTCAAGTGCTGCAGGTTTTTCATCTACTTCCTCATCTCCCGAAGAGGCTGGTCAGGAAGTTGATGAACAATTGTCGTCTGAATCTGAAGTGGATGGCGAAAGTGGAGGTAAGTGGTTTGTGAAGTTGCTAATTGTTTTCTGTACTATGTATTGGCTACTCAACAGCAGCGTTTTTTGTCTTTGTCTTCGTACGTCTACATGAAGAATCTGTTATTGCTGATCGTCGCATTGTTGATATCAGTCTATTGGTGGAACGTTCTCGTCGTGGCTGCTGTAGTTGCAAAGCTGTTCTGAATTTGGTGGACATTGTATCTGAGCAGAGATTTGGACTTGCTAGCATTTTTTTGGGTGAAATGCAGCTCCTGTAGAACTGAGAACTTAGTGCAAACCTCCAAGTCCGTAGTCAGCAAGAACGGAAAGCGTCGAGTATTCAGTGTCAACACCAAAGCTGCATTGGGTGAGTTTGTAAAAGTGTGTGTATGTGCGTGTGTGCGTGCATGCCTGTGCATTTGTGTGTACATGAGTATATAAGTGTCTGCATGCTTCTCTCCGTTTGGGCATGTGTGTGCACGTGCGTGGGTGCGCGCATGCGCGCGCGTGCATTCATGCACCTGTGCATGCGCATATAATTATGTTTTTGCGCGCATGCATGCACGTGTGTGTGTGTGTGTGTGTAAGTGAGTGCACATATGTGCGTGTGTGTGTATGCCCATGTGCACGCGCATATGTGTGCGTGCGCGTGCATGCACGAGTGTGTGTGTGTGTGTCTCTGTTTGTGTGTCTCTGTCTCTCTCTCTCTCTGTCTCTCTCTCTGTCTCTCTCTCTCTCTCTCTCTCTCTGTATCTCTCTGTATCTCTCTGTATCTCTCTGTCTCTCTCTATGTCTCTCTCTCTCTCTCTCTCTCTCTCTCTCTCGCTCTCTCTCTCTCTCTCTTTCTCTCTCTCTCTCTCTCTCTCTCTCTCTCTCTCTCTCTCTCTCTCTCTCTCTCTCTCTCTCTCTCTCTCTCTCTCTCTCTCTCTCTCTATCTATCTATCTCTCTCTCTCCAGCAAGTGTAGGGTGTGCATAGGTAACTGTCTTGGCCGTTTTATGCTGATGCACTTCGTGTGGTGTAGGTCAGGTGTGCATTGGTGGTCGATTCACTTGGCTTCGCCAGTTGTGTGCATTATGCAGTTATCTGGCGCCGGTCACTTGATCTGTCTCCTTCAGATCTTGTTTGCTATCGTTGCTATAAGAGAAAATCTGTGGGTGCACATCCAGTGCATTTGCAGATTTGCGTGCTTCTCTTGCGGCTCGCGTATACATGCAGTGGCGGATCCAGGATTTGGCCGAAGAGGGGGCCCAAGGTATCCGTCCCCCCCCCCCCCCCACCGAAAAAAGACAAAACAACAACGACAAAGTCCTGAAGTTGTGAAGAGCTGCTGTATTCCATTCTCACGACATTTTCAAACTGGACTGGAAGTGTTGTTAAGCTGTGCTGTAACTCAGGTATTAGGGCGACACTACTCTACTACTAGCAGGTATTTGTATGCTACAAGCGAGTTGCAACAGAGACTTGAAATGACTTCACATTCAGGAGCAGGTTCAGGTTACGTCGCAAGTGCGTGCAGGAACATTTCCACTCGGCAGCGGCTTCGACGGACCTTTGGACGGCTCTTCAACGCAAGCTCTCTTATCTACCGGTCCACTGAAGAACGACCTGATGTCAGACCCTTTCCTCTTCATCGCATACCTGAAGGTAACCCGTTGCCTACAAGCGAAGTAGAGAGAGCGTTTAGTTTCTGACAAGTGAAAAAGAAAAAGGAAGGACGAAGTCGACAGCACCATACACTGACGTCTGTACAGGACTTCAGCCCAATGCGATCGCTGCACTAGCTGCACTTTGTACCAGGCCCTGCATTTTTGGCACGTTTTTCACATGTTTGAAGTGCGGCCGTGTCCTCTGCTCAGGTCGCAGTGCGTACAGACTCAGTAGTTGTAGATCTACACAGCGCGCTGGCTAGCGCATGACACCGGACACTTAAAGGGGCACTCCGGCTTCATTTTCGACGCCGAGTTTTCGATGCCAAGACGAAGGTTGGTGAAAGAGAAGACCCCCGGAACAAGAACGAGTCTCCAGAAGCGATCGAGTCGAGCAGGAAGACGACTTTTGAATTTCGCCGAGCGAGCGCTGATGACGTAATGAGGGATTAGCTTGCCAGTGGAAATGCATCTGCGCACACACATTTCACATACTTTTTGGCCAATTTTCAATCGAAGAGGACGTTGTTTTCTATGTTCTCTCAACGTCGTGAGCGATCCCGTCTTCTATACCCTTCCAGGTACCCTGAAGGTCCTCCAGAGGAGAATTTATCTCCAGCAAAGCGTTGTTGATCCGCTAAATTCGTCTCGAGACATATTCACCCAGTGCAGTGCTGACAAATGTAGAATATTGAATCTGTGATAATTGTCGACGATGGACAGAAATGTTGATAGCCGCTGTCGCAGGGAGAGTGAAGCTGCTGGAAGTAACAACGGGGAGCTTGATAGCATCACTTGATCAAAGCAGCTAGACGGAATCTGGGAGTACTGACTATTTGTCTCGCCCTCAGTTTAGTGAATTTTATGATC